ATTGTTGAAAAATATAATTGTGTATAAAATTTGTCTCAAATTTAATTTATTATAAAAGGAAAGTGTTTTCAAAAGTCTAAGATTCCGGTCGTAAACAAGTCATGCCTTTTAAACACATCAACAAAAAAAAACTCGTCGTCGTCGGTATGTATGACAGGGGCACCGGTAGACGTGTCGGCGCCTTATAATTACTATGTATTTATTCAAATTAATTCAATTCGTAATTTATATGATTTTAATTTTACAAAATTCATTAAAATTTTAATAATATTCTCATAAAAATATATCATTTTTACCAGAATTTGTAAAAATTCCTTTCAATTCTGTATTTATTTATCTTTTTTGGCCGTATATTCTGTGTATACACGACATGAATGGCTATTATCTCCAGACTGTTGTCTATCACTAAATCTCTATCTCTATCTGTTTCTCATCATCAGGTGATGGAGAAGTGGGAAAGACATGTCTTCTCGTGGTTTTTAGTCGCGAAAAATTTCCAGACGCCTACATCCCTACTGTGTTTGAAGCCTCGGTCACAGACTTTATTTACAAAAGCAAACCGGTATTTAATAAACAAGCACAAAACAGTATTTTAAACACACATATACAATATATATATATATGTACAATATATATATATATATTCAAAATTTCCAAACTCTTTCCCTCTCACTATATAAACATGTATTTTAAGCGTGAATTTGATTAAAAACACATAAATAACACATTAATTGGTTTGACATTAAATACATGAATAGGAAATCGATTGACGAAAAGTGTTATCAAAAATCAATTCAATACACAAAATGTTACGAAAGTCTCTATTAATTGATTATTTGATTTATGAATAGTCGGTGCCATTAAAGGGATGATTGAAAAACTTTGTTATTATTTTTTATATATTAATTTTTTGTGATATATTTTAATCATTATTTAGAAGTAATTGAGGGGACAAACCTTTTTTCGCTATGAATGCCTACCATTTATAATAACTATGCGGTTATTATATCTAAAAAAGTCTCCGATTAATGCAAAAAATAAATATTAATAATAATAAAAACTTTGTGAACATAATTGTGTAGAAACTAAAATCCTAAATACAAATACAAATGGTATGAGTTTATATTATATAACTTTATATATTTATTATCTGGAGTTATAAATGAAGCTTTTTTTTCTGAAAAATTCAATTAGTTTTAAAGGGAAAGACAGCAAATAATACGAAAAGATAAACACATGGGCTCTAGAAATCTAATGAATAAATAAACTGTGTTTTCAATACACGAGCACTCATTTCAAGTTCATTGAGACTATGTTTAGCGAAAATAGTGGAAATTCTTGCGAGAATTTGCGAGAATTTTTAGAAATTTAAAATTATTTAAAACTCTATTTTCATGTCAATTATAATGAGAATTCTGAGACATTAACACTATTTTCAATTAACATGTTCAAAAATAAATTACACGTTTTACAAATAAATACAGTGTTATTATAGTTATGAATATATCGCATATAAAACAAATAAGTTTGAGATTGATTTAATATAAATATTTTTTTGTTTTCGTTTGTATTAATAGCGCTTTTGTGCTATTCTTAACGTTTGATTGATTGAATAAAGTGCCAAAAACNTATTATAGTTATGAATATATCGCATATAAAACAAATAAGTTTGAGATTGATTTAATATAAATATTTTTTTGTTTTCGTTTGTATTAATAGCGCTTTTGTGCTATTCTTAACGTTTGATTGATTGAATAAAGTGCCAAAAACGCCGGATATTTATGTTTAGAGCCATAAGTTTTATAATTGTTTTTGTTTTAAAACCAGTTGGCAATTAGTTTACATACATTCAATCAATGACATCAGATATGCTTATGATTTATATTAGAAACTGTTCAATAATTTATGCCATACTACATCTGATAAACTGATAAAACCCTTTAATAATAACATTATTACTCTTATTATTAGAGCAAAATCCTCACAGAATTTATTCAACTTATTGTCAAAAATAGTAAACATTGGGAAAAAAGTATTAACAATTTCAGAGACGACTGTCCTCTCAGTCCTTAACCACACGAGTTGAATGAATCGCGAAAATGATAATCCTCACAGAATTTATTCAACTTATTGTCAAAAATAGTAAACATTGGGAAAAAAGTATTAACAATTTCAGAGACGACTGTCCTCTCAGTCCTTAACCACACGAGTTGAATGAATCGCGAAAATGAAATTCACTTTTATTATACTAACGGCACTTAAAGTGATATTTATTTTACGCATAAATTTATTACACAATCAAACCGAGAGATGAAACCACGAAAAACACTTAAATAAGTGTTTATACCATAAGTGACACTAAAAACTACAAATACAAACAAAACACACAAAAACTTAATTACAACCATAAACCCCACCATTGATTACAGTTAGAGCTGGAGCTATGGGACACCGCCGGTCAGGAGGACTTTGACCGACTCAGACCCCTGTCCTATCCGGACACCGACGTCCTGCTACTATGTTTCAGTATCGTATCGCCCGACTCCCTGTCCAACGTGTTTGACAGGTGGGTGCCCGAGGTGAAAAAGTTTTGCCAGGACGTGCCCATCATACTGGTGGGCACTAAACGCGATTTGCGTACCGATGCCCAAGTGGTGGACAGTTTGCGGCGAATGCAACAAAAACCGATAAGTTTTACCGATGGGTGCAACGCGGCCGAGGATATGGGCGCCTATGGGTACTGCGAGTGCTCCTCCAGACATAATGAGGGCATAGTCCAGGTGTTTGATATGGCCATCGAGGCGGCCCTCAAGTCCAAGAAAGTCCAGAAAANAAATATATAAAGTTATATAATATAAACTCATACCATTTGTATTTGTATTTAGGATTTTAGTTTCTACACAATTATGTTCACAAAGTTTTTATTATTATTAATATTTATTTTTTGCATTAATCGGAGACTTTTTTAGATATAATAACCGCATAGTTATTATAAATGGTAGGCATTCATAGCGAAAAAAGGTTTGTCCCCTCAATTACTTCTAAATAATGATTAAAATATATCACAAAAAATTAATATATAAAAAATAATAACAAAGTTTTTCAATCATCCCTTTAATGGCACCGACTATTCATAAATCAAATAATCAATTAATAGAGACTTTCGTAACATTTTGTGTATTGAATTGATTTTTGATAACACTTTTCGTCAATCGATTTCCTATTCATGTATTTAATGTCAAACCAATTAATGTGTTATTTATGTGTTTTTAATCAAATTCACGCTTAAAATACATGTTTATATAGTGAGAGGGAAAGAGTTTGGAAATTTTGAATATATATATATATTGTACATATATATATATATTGTATATGTGTGTTTAAAATACTGTTTTGTGCTTGTTTATTAAATACCGGTTTGCTTTTGTAAATAAAGTCTGTGACCGAGGCTTCAAACACAGTGGGGATGTAGTCGTCTGGAAATTTTTCGCGACTAAAAACCACGAGAAGACATGTCTTTCCCACTTCTCCATCACCTGATGATGAGAAACAGATAGAGATATAGTGATAGACAACAGTCTGGAGATAATAGCCATTCATGTCGTGTATACACAGAATATACGACCAAAAAAGATAAATAAATACAGAATTGAAAGGAATTTTTACAAATTCTGGTAAAAATTATATATTTTTATGAGAATATTATAGAAGTTTTTAATGAATTTTGTAAAATTTAATAAAATTAATAAAATTAAAATCATATAAATTACGAATTGAATTAATTTGAATAAATACATAGTAATTATAAGGCGCCGACACGTCTACCGGTGCCCCTGTCATACATACCGACGACGACGAGTTTTTTTTTGTTGATGTGTTTAAAAGGCATGACTTGTTTACGACCGGAATCTTAGACTTTTGAAAACACTTTCCTTTTATAATAAATTAAATTTGAGACAAATTTTATACACAATTATATTTTTCAACAATATTTCACTCAAAGTGCTAATAGTTAGCGACAAACAGTAGGCTTGAAAAACAACAACAAAATAACAATAAAACAGTTATGAAACGCAAATGTTTATCACAAATATTTCTTAGGTATTAAGCTATGCTCACATGAAAACCATATTAATATATAACGGTATCTGAGATGTAATTATAATTTATATTTCTCTGCCGTTTTGAGGCGAGTTGTCAAAGAGTATGGGATTTTGAAACTGATTTACAGCGTAATAGTCACACCTCTTAAGGAAAGAGACGTTTCGTTTAATTGACTGCACATAAGAGGCTGTGAGAGAGAGAGAGAGAGATAGAGAGAGCGAGAGAGAGAGAGAGAGAGTAGGGATTTGATATTAAAAGTATTGAGCACTTTATTAGTGGTGTGTTTAGCAATAAAAATACAGTTATGTTTGCCGTGTGATTCCCCCATATATTTAGCATTTATTTATNGAGAGAGAGAGAGAGAGAGAGAGAGAGCGAGAGAGAGAGAGAGAGAGAGCGAGCGAGAGAGAGAGTAGGGATTTTGACATCACATTCACAACATGTACTCGAAATGTATGTATGTTTTGATGTAAACCCCTTCTGAACGCTACACTCTATTCGCACTCTCACTGCAAAGGTTTTCACTTAAATTACTTGATTATACACAGTATTCATATATTCATGGATTATTATATAGTAGATTATTATTATTACAGTAAATGTTAAACTATTATAACTTTTCCAGTGTATATGTGTGTTGATCGATAATCTCCTGTAACTAATAGAATAGACTATTGTTTATTAAATATTGTGTATAATTTTGTTTTATTAGAGTATGTGAGACCTGTTTGGTTATTGTAATAATCATAAATTGTTTGCTATAACAAAAACGAAAACATAGTTTTATATAATTGATTAAATCGTGAAATGAAATTCACATTCAATGAGAAATCACTTACAAATATATATATAAAGCGAAATTATTTTCACGCCATTGATTAAACTGACTTAATAGGCTATTAAAACTGTTGCACACAATACTGTTTGAGACACATATGAATTGAATTGATTAAATGATATACATTTGCATATATAGTATATATTATATACAATATTTTAGCATTTACAATATCGTAAACATATTTAATGGCTAAAAATGAAAGTTTAAATATTCAGTTAGTTTTAGGGCACAGATATTTATAATAATAATCTTGTTATTTAACTTTTAGCAAACTTGATTATATGTTTAGGAATTCCGTGGATTATTTCAAATACATAATATTATTTCACATGAATTTTAACCAAAAATTTATTCTGGGAATCGGAATAAATGCTTATATTTGTATAGTTATTTGAAAATGTTATTTAATTTTCAAGTTTTGTCAAACATTTCACTAATGGCTAAGGAATTTTTCGGTATACAAATATAATTGCATAACACACTTGTATATAATTATTATATAAACAGTTTGTTTGCAAATATAATTGAATTCTTAAGTCTTGACTATTGATTAGATATTTTGGTTTTTTGTTTTATTTCACAGTTTTGTGTTCACACGTATCGGGCATTGATTATTACGATAATTATATAATATTAATATAAATGTCTATTATTTGAATCGCAAAGTCTATCAAATATTATTTATTGGTAAATGAAATTGTTAATCAAATACTTGTCTAACATTTCAATTTCAATGTTAAGTGGCTCTTATGAATAGGCAGTGTATGTGCGATCAATATACCTGTGCCTGTGATTTATAAATGGCAAGGATTTATACGTTTATTATTTATAGTCTCATAATTTATTTCACGAAAATATTTATTTATTGGAAAGATTTTAATTATAATTAATCGTGTGCTGGAGTTAAGGCAATAAATAATATACACATAACTTAATCTATATTATGGTTTACCAAAAAAAATAATTGTTTTGTTTGTCGCAAAAGCCTAACAAAATATTTTAATCTAGATAATAAATAAAAACTAAATAAATAAAAACTAAATAAATATATCCCTTTATTTATGATTAAAAAAATGTGTTTAAAACTTATATTTAATTTAGGTTTCATTTTACTCATAAGATTTTATTATTTTGAGTTAAAAAATTGTCATATCTTTCTAATCATACAAAACTTTTAGCACAAGATATGGAAACACAGTGTTTGTGTCACTTATGACAGAATAGGGACTCCCGATAAGGGGAAAGGGGTGTCGTGTTCTCCATGCAAACACTTTCCCTTTAAAACATTCACAAATAATATGAATATTCTGTTTAACGTCTGTTTATATTTCGTTCAAAAACCAGAATTTTTTATTTATTTTTCATTTCAAAATACTTGTAATAATAGAAAAACTGGAGCAGTAATATGCTACCAGTCCTGCCTGTCCTTTCACTAGTTTGCAGTGAAAAACAAACTAATAATACCCTGAATATCGATTCAATGTATGTTTGACTGATTGTGTGAAACATCTCTATAGGGGGTCCGGGAGTGGGGTTTAACGGCGGGGTTATACCACTTCTGAGATTCATATCTTATTTCATTGGTGTTATTGAGTGGGAGGTTATGTCTTAAATCTCACCCCTTAGAAAACCTAGTATCAATAACATAGCTGAATATTTTCTTATATAAAATTGCCGTTTATTACCCGGATTAAATTGTTTATCAAAATGTATTTGCCAAACGATTAGATATATACGGTATGTTTGGCGCGAAATATTATTTACGATATATTTACAAAGGATTTATAAAAAATTGTATTACAGTATTTTTAAAGATATAAAAAAGTACCGGGATCATAAAAAGCTATTTTTAAAATACTGTATATAAATCTATTTATAGTTAAGCAATTGTTATTAACATTTAAAAGTATTACTGTACTGGTATTTTGTATTTATTTAATAATGTTTTGGTTGTATTTTAAATTAGTATACGTATTGATATGTTAACAATATTAATATATACAGTGATTAAAATTTTTAACTATTAAAAAGATTATATATTTTCTTAACTAAATGGCCATGGATTTTGGTTTATTTAATAAAAATATTTATTATAAAATAGAAGTTTTGAAAAAAAATCTTTTAAAGATATCAACACCTTATCAAATGTTTTCAATCATTTTATAGCAAAATATTAGATATAAACTTTGTTGATAGCCATTGGTTATCAACTAAAAATGCTTTTCCCATACAAGATATGGAGGAACAGTAGATATGATTGGAAATTCATGTCTATTAAGACCTTAATTATACAAAATATACTTGACTGGAAACTTGTTTATAAATATTACGAAATACATGCACTTTCATAGCTATCACTAATTGTAATGAAAAGTTTGACAAAAGACACAAATGTTGGAGACTTTAGATATAAATATAAATTGTGAACCAAAATATAAATTAATAAAAGTTTATTATATTTCGTGCATTGAATATCGAGAGAATTTAATGTAAAGTTTGTTCATTAGTTAAATATTTATCCAATCATTTCTAACCCGAGTGCTTATATATTAATAATACAAGTGTCAAACAATAAGACTTAAAATTAGACATTTGTTTGATTAACATTTTGCCAAAACTAATATCAATATACAGTTTATTGTACTTCCAATAGAAGTGATAGTTTGTCAGCATTTGTGTCAAGAAACCCATAGAAAATACATTAAACTTTCATTGTGTTTATCAATTGATAATATTTTTTGTTTTTCATATAAATTCGTATTAACTTTTAGCTTAATTTGAATTTTTGCTATTTTGTGGCTTATCTCGTAAATTAATTTCCCGGATTATTATCCCATAAAAATTGCACAAAAATGACTGATAATTATAGCCGCGTTGGGAATAGATATCATTTATTGCCTAAAAACGAGGCTAATATTCTCTTGAGGTATATATGGCTCGATGGGAATGGTATGTAATTTACAAACAATACTTATAAGCGTATTGTTATTAAATTAATTTAATTATCAGGTCATGACTTGCGGACCAAAAGTATGCGCTCCTATAGGGAGCCACAGACTGTCGATGAGGTGCCTCTCTGTGCATATTGTGGCCAAACATGCGGTAAATAAATAGATATTAAGAAAAATTGTTAATTTGTTTTTGATATTTATTACAAAGTTTATAAAAAACAATACTTGAATCAAATTGTCTGTAAAATGACAGGTCATATGAAACTGACGGCAAACTCGGACTGTTGGCTAAAACCGGTGCTCCTATGCGACGACCCCTTCAGACAACACAATCACAAACTCGTGTTTTGTGTTCCCATTAAATACCAAATTGAAGGTATAATTAGCAGTAAATGTTTATTCAGAAAGTAAACTAATATTTTCCAAATTGTATATATTTTAGCGTCTATTTATAGACATTCATGCGAAGCAATTGAGAGACAATTAAATGCATCCAAGAGACCACTGCTCGTAATAAGACAGGTCTTTATTTTATAAATTTATTGTATTAACTGTATTCAAAAAACTATCTAACCTACAATTTAAATTCCTAAAATTTATGTCCAATTAAATGCATAATTTTTTTGAATCCATTTATAGCCATATATACTATACAGCAAAAAGACAGGAAAGCCTATCGGCTGGCCTTTCGGTAATTTCGATGCTATGGACAGGACATCCAACTACGGGGTCGGCACTAATGTAGCCAATGGTCGCGATATAAACGAAGCATTTTACAGGTTATTCACCACTTTGTAAAAGTTTTTCATACAATTCACTCATTACTGACTAATTGTAGGGCCTGTCTGTACGCCGGCCTAACCCTGAGTGCCTCACAGGTGGAGGACATGCCGTCGATGTGGAGCTTCGAGTTGGGCCCGACTCGAGGCACAGGTATTGCCGATCAGCTATGGATGGCTCGATATATACTGCAATATATTAGCGAAGAGTTTGATTGTATCGTATCATTGAATCCCTTAAAACATAAACAAACTGACGGTCAATACCTTAGAGTGTGGGCCGGGGATCAGATCTCAGTTCAGCCCCAGTTATACCCTATGAATAGCGACCCCTATCTCGCAGTCAAAACTATTTGCCAGTCATTATTAGGTGGAAATTAAATATTGATAATTTTGTTATAACACTATTGCCTTAATAATACAGTAGTAAAATACTAGACATTCAGTAAATTATACTATTGTAACAAATATTGAAAAATATGAAATTTAAAAAACTAATATTTGTATATTAAAAATAATTATGTTTATTGCATAAGAAATTAGATCAGAAATTAAAAGTATAAGTAATAAAAAATATAATAACTTTTTTGTCAAAAATTACCGTGTTTGAAGTCATTGTAAATATAATTAATGAATCTAATGAATAAAGTCAATTGAAAATATGCAAGGGCATATTTCTTATATTTTATAAATAGGCTATATATTAATACTAGTGAATTGAGTGCAGATGTGTTTGAAATCATTTTGTCGAAAGTCTATAATAGAAAATATTAGTGAATTCATGACAATATGTTTTGAATTTAAATTCTGTTGTTTTAATTTGAATTTAGATTTAGATTTCATTCACTTATTTCCATGTTAATAAAAATGCAAATATTATAAGTGTTAAGTAATTCAAGACATGTCAGACATAGTAAACTAACATATGCAATATAACCGTTGCCTTTATAATTATGCAATACTTGCGATACTTATATGCAATCTTAATGTTCAGAAAGTTACGCAATTATATACAGTAGATATAAAAAGCAGTATTAAGACACTGAATAGACATATCGAGAGGACTGTAGGTAAGGGGTATGCAGATTTATATACCAATAATTAAATTGAAATAACTTTCTAGTAGTACTCTACTTACTACATTATTATACAATACTGTAATCGAGTATAATACTGTACCAAAAGTAATAGACTTTGGTACTGAAAAGGTAGTTAAAGTAATTTGTTTTTTTATTATAATACTTAACATATTTTTCTAAAATATTCTCCCATTATATTTAAAAATATTTGAGATTACTATAATAATGGATAAATAATTTATACAAATACAGTATTTATGAAACATAGTTCGTTACACCACTAAACTTGTAAGAATTCAATATAATTTTACTTATATAATTAAATAACTGTGTCACTCATTTGAATGTGCCTGGTTATTGTACAGCACAAGATTTCCAACTCTTGACTTGAGGGCATAGGACGGCACGTACGGCCTCATCGAACACATTCGTAAGGCCTTTCCGTGTGAGCGCCGAGCACTCCACGTACTTAACGGCGCCGATATCCTTAGCCATAGCCTTGCCCTCCCTGCGTGTAATGGGTGCCATTTTGCGCTTCTTAAGCTTGTCCAGTGTTTTGGGGTCGTGCCGGAGGTCCAGTTTAGTGCCCACCAGTATAATAGGTTTGTCGGGACAGTGATGTCTCACTTCCGGATACCATATCAACCGTACGTTTTCAAAGGACGACGGGTTGACCACCGAATAGCATATGAGAAAGACGTCGGTTTGCGGGTATGATAGGGGCCGCAGTCGGTCGAAGTCCTCTTGACCGGCCGTATCCCAGAGGCCCAGATTGACGGGCTTTCCGTCGACCATCACATTAGCGGAATAGTTGTCAAAAACGGTGGGAATGCATTCATCGGGAAATGCGTTTGTCTTGTAACTTATTAATAGACATGTTTTACCCACAGCTCTGAAAAAGGAGAAAATGTGGAAATCACTTTATGTGTAGTAGGGTATACTTTACTTTAAAATATATCATAATAAATATGTATTAATTATAAAAATTTATGAATATATACCCGTTACCAACTACTACACACTTAATTGCATTCATATCAATAAATTATTAATGTTTCAACGGTATGTGATACAAAAAAGTTACAATAAGTTAGTCAAAAATGACTATACTTATAATATTTATAATACTCGCACACGATTAATAATTACAATATTTTAAAGCCTATTTATTTGACTCTAAACCACAACAGAAATAATTTCATTTGAATTGATATTCAATGAGATAATGACTACTAAACAAGAAGTAGTCCTGAAATGTGCATTATAAAAATGTATTTGTTTCGCCAAAAAGTGTGACAAAACTACGCTCGCAATGCAATTGAATGAGAATCTCCAGGAAATCCCTTTTATGACTAATTCTTGTATATATCAGTCATTAAACCGGTTCCCGACGACTACACACTTAATGCAATGCTTTTCAATGAATTATTAGTTTTATTGTAAGTATTATATGAATGAGTCGATTATGCAAACACTGATCACATAAACTTGAATCAATGGGACTATAGTATAGTCACTATACTGTACGTTATTACTCCAATAATATTATCTAATGTAGCTAGACATTATTCTCATATTGTCAATTAAAACCGTGTGAATAAATTATAAAAATACTTTCTCTATTATAAAAATTTCATTTTTCTCTAATGATTCCGTGAATTAGTTTAAATAAATATCTAACAAGTCAATTATATTTTATAGAATTAATGTATAAATATTCTGCTTTTTAAAAAATACCGTGATGTTTTATTCCTGTATAAAGCAAGGCAATTCTTTATTTATTAATAAAATGTCTCCATTAAATCGTATATAATGTGTGTTTTTAAACTTAAATTTTTAATTATTTTATGCGTAAATAACTAAAATAAAGGGCTAATGGTTCACTTTAATGAGTTCAAGTCAAATTAAAGATCTTGCTTATACCCAGTTATACCCTATGAATAGCGACCCCTATCTCGCAGTCAAAACTATTTGCCAGTCATTATTAGGTGGAAATTAAATATTGATAATTTTGTTATAACACTATTGTCTTAATAATACAGTAGTAAAATACTCAACATTCAGTAAATTATACTATTGTAACAAATATTGAAAAATATGAAATTTACAAAACTAATATTTGTATATTAAAAATAATTATGTTTATTGCATAAGAAATTATATCGAATTAAAAGTAAAAGTAATAAAAAAATGTATAATAATTATTTTTTTGCCAAAAACTACCTTATTTATAGTTATTGTAAATATAATTAATGAATCTTATAAATGAAGTCAATTGAAATATGCAAGAGCATATTTCTTGTATTTGATAATTTATGATTAAATCTTATTGTTTGCAACAAATGAGTTGCATTTCGCGGATATTGAAGTCTATTTCCCCGATGGACTGGTCGGCGATAAACTCATTATAGACGTTAGGGTTGAGTCGGTCGGACCTCTCAGTCACGAACGGGTCTACTGCTATATTCCTGAGGAACTCATATTTTCGTGAACCTATCGGCACCTTTGCCTCCGTCACTGCAGTCAAAAGCTTGTAAACCCCGGCAATTATGGCTATAAAAGTCACGTTAAAGTTATCAATAGTTTATCTTAATTAACAATTACTAACCGATCAGCTCCTGGCGTTTCAAATGCCAAACCTCGGTCACAAGGCTTAGCTTTTTAATAGCAAAGCCCGACTCAACGCAGGCATCCCTCCAGCCCTGGACCTGTAGTTCCTCGGATAGGGTCTGTCCGTTCAGAATTTGACCCGATTTTGTCAATAGCCTATTAAATATTTTCATTGCCTCTGAAGGGCTTTTCGGGTAAATCCACTGAAACGCCATATTAGACACAATGAGGTCCACCCGAGACTCCAGTTCCCTGATGGGTGCACTCAACCCATCCCACGGGACACTCATGTCTTGAACCAAATACTCGGTTGAATCGGTTTTGTGGTTCAGTTGGGCGTAGGATATGATCTGCGGGTCGATATCCACGCCAATCACACGGTGCCCATAGGCCAGGGATTTGGACAAGTGTTGCGTCATATATCCCGTTCCGCACCCGACATCCAAGACTACGTTATAGTGTCTGTAAATGTGAGGTATTATTAGTTTTTGTGTTACATTTGTTGGGTCACTATTATAGGCACTTATTTTGGTGGACCACGTCTTGGATCACTTGATCCGCTGATTGTCTTTGAACTGTATTTAACTTTTCGTAGACCTCTGGCTTGACATCCATTTTAATAAATAGTTATTTTATTAACGATGAACCGTATGTTAGAAATTGTTAAGTTTATACATTAGGCGGCGTGCACAAAGTACATACGCACTGGTAGGGGGA